GGCCGCATTGCATTTTCTGCAGCTCAGCCAGTGCGGCTGTGCATTTGCTACGCTGCTTCGTTAAAGGTCACTTCCTGTTGCCAGCAGGTGGTGCTATGACTGTGGGTGAATGTCGGCATGTAGATTTGTTCAGGGCGGGACTCTTGTCAAAGGTGTTAAATTTCATGCATATCAGGGCTTTTACAGCCAAGTTACTACAGCTTCCTGTTTCATGGCAAATCATCAACGCCACGGACACGTCCATCGACGAAAACCCGCAGAGAGCACAACTTTACATTGTCAATGCCTTTAGAAGGCACAGCAGAAATGTTAAGTCGATCCGACTAAAGCCCTAGGAGGAGTTCGTTAAAGTACGTAATGAGTAAATCATCAAAAAATGGCGGTAAAATTCGAAATGGCCGACTTTCTGTTGAGTTTAGGGCATCGCGCCAAGAGACTTTTGTGTGCGTCTGGACATGGTAGATGTAGCACAGAAATTTCGTACCTGTCGGTCAAACATGTGGCGGGGGCTGCGTCTTTAAAGGTCACTTCCTCTCGCCACTAGGTGGCGCTATGAGTGTGGGTGAATGTCTGCATGTAGATTTGTTCAGGGTGGGACTCTTGTCAAATGTGTAAAATTTCGTGCAGATCTGGGCATTTACAGCCAAGTTACTACTACTTCCTGTTTCATGGCGAATCATCGACGCCACGGACACGCCCATCGACGAAAACGCGCAGATAGCACAACTTTACATCGTCAATGCCTTTAGAAGGCACAGAAGAAATTTGAAGTCGATCTGACTAAATCCCTAGGAGGAGTTCGTTAAAGTACGTAATGAGTAAATCATCCACAAATGGCGGTAAAATTAGAAATGGCCGACTTCCTGTTGAATTTAGGGCATCGCTCCAAGAGACTTTTCTGTGCGTGTGGACATGGTAGATGTACCACAGAAATTTTGTACATGTCGGTCAAAGGTGCGGCGGGGGCTGCTTCGTTAAAGGTCACTTCCTGTTGCCACTAGGTGGCGCAATGACTGAGGGTGAATGTCGGCATGTAGATTTGTGAAGGGCGGGACTCTTGTCATACGTGTTAAATTTCGTGCAGATCTGGGCATTTACTTCCAAGTTACTACTACTTCCTGTTTCATGGCGAATCAGACCGCCACGGACACGCCCATCGACGAAAATGCGCAGATAGCACAACTTTACATTGTCAATCCCTTTAGAAGGTACAGCAGAAATTTGAAGTTGATCCGACAAAATCCCTAGGAGGAGTTCGTTAAAGTACGGAGTGTGTAAATCGTCCCAAATAGGTCGCCAAATTCAAAATGGCAGACTTCCTGTCGAGTTTAGGGTATGGGTTCTCTAGGCTTTTTTGTGCGTCTTGAAATGATACACATCCCCACCAAATTTCGTGCATGTAGGTTGAAAGTGGACGAGGGGCTAATTTTTTCCAATTTTCTAGGTGGCGCTAGCGAGCCATTTTCCCCCGCCCATCCGCAAAACCCACAAAATACGAGATTTTTCACCAGTCCTGACACGCATGCCAAATTTGGTGACTTTTTGAGCATGTTGCGGCCCGGAAAATGGCGCTTACTTTGCAGAAAAAAAATAAAAAATAACCCTAACAGTTCAATAGGGTCCTCGCACTGTTAGTGCTCGGGCCCTAAAAATAACCCTAACAGTTTCAATAGGGTCCTCGCACTGTTAGTGCTCGGGCCCTAATAATCCTAACAGTTTCAATAGGGTCCTCGCACTGTTAGTGCTCGGCCCCTAATGAAGATAATAGACAGTCAAAAACTCAAGGAAGATGCAGGTACTGCAACGAAGAAGGACACTGGGTTCGTGATTGTAAGCTGAGTTTAAAACGTCAAAGTGATGATGAGGACAACCTGTTGAGGAGGTTTCAGCAGTTGACAGATAAACAAAAACAGACTCTGCTAAACGCTGTTGAGCCGCAGGGAAACTGAAGAGCCTCTCTCTGCAGCACCAACTTGTGACATCTCATCCGACAACTGATGGACTCCATGTGTATGCAAAAATGACAAATGAAGACACCACCCCAAAGGTAAAAGCATACACAGAAGTCTCAACAACTGAAGCCAAAGATGATGTCCAAGTAGAAGGTGCTGCTATACAAGCCGTAAAGGAGAGAGGTGCATACAGCGGCATTAAGACAACTTCAGCAAGTTTTGCCATGTAAACTGATTCAAGATGAAGCATCCAAAAAAACAAATGCCATCAGTGATGGAAGCTAAAACAAAACTACATAATGACAAGCAATACAGTAAGGATAACCTCAAGGAAATTGGACTATGCCCTTTTGAACATGTCACTGGCCGGCCCATGTCCAAAGAAAATCTAACATCTGACAGCCTTGCCCAAACTGAATGTCAGCCTGGTAGAACACAATGCCAAGAATCAATTTTCAGCATTAGAATCCAGGAGGGATAGCCTTCAGGATATCATGGTAACTGATTAAGCAGTTAAGGTGCAGAGAAAAGATGAGTGGACTGACGTGAGCCAATGGGATTTGAAACATCTGCCTAGAGATGAGGGATAGACGGCAGTAGTGTTTATCAGAGTCCAGATATGGCGGGACTAGGGTTTTTAGGCCCTAGCTTGTCGCCTGAGGACGAAGACATAAACATACAGCCACTGATAAACACGGTAGTGTCCTGCCAATATTAAATAGGGACAGTTTTTCAGGCAATTATGAATTATGTCTTTAAAATATTTTCCTTTTAAAAGGAAAATAAATGCGCTATATAAATAAAGGTGACTTGACTTGACCATTAGGTCACTTGATGGAGTTTTTCGGTTCCTTGCCACTGTTGCCTTTGGCTTTCTCAGTTGGAGATATTCAAATTAATTAACCAATCACTAATACGATTGATCAGCTCTACCAAACGTGGATGTTTCTTCACTAAGAAACGAACAAAGTTATTATATTTTCATTGATACTGTGAAGCTGCTTTGATGCAATCTATATTGTGAAAAGCGCTATAAATATACTTGACTTATATTGAAAATGCTGATAATTGTTTGCTATACAATAACAGTGTTGCTGTAATCAACAAGGTAAGACTCTCTAAATGAGTTTGGTGATTCAGGTCAAGTGATTATTCTGTTAAAACAAAACCAACACCATCAGATCACCTTTTCTCTTTGTTTATCTGGCAGCCAAACAAAATCTAAAGTTATAAATGTAATGGTCAGGAGACCACTAAAGCTAGCACTGACCTCTATAATGGTGACTTAAAAATAGTGCTTCTGCTTGTTAACATCAGTTGTCTTTAAGAATGATCAATCATCACTCAATGAATCACTTAATTAGCTCATTAACTTTAATTTCAAAGTTGAAACAAAGGCAGTCTTCAAGTTTTAGTGAACTTCGATTTTCAAGGCAGTAGGTGAACTTGCATTTCCAAGTTAAACTAACATTGAATGTATGTGGATAAATGAATGACAAATAAAGCTTCAAAAAAAGTTATTTTTAAAAAATCATTTTAAAATTGATGTAATGCATATTTTTGAATCAGGAAAAAGAGTGTACAGTGCCTAAAACATTATTATTTAGTGGTTGTGTATTTCATTCATATTAATTTATATTTATTGCATTCTAGTGGCCTTAGAATCTTTAGCACCTTATTGTACTTCTAAAAGACAGAAAAATAACCATACAAGTATACAAGTCAAATCAAGCCACTTTTTATTATTATTATTTATTTATTTATTTACAATACTGGTTGTTTCAAAGCAGCGTTACAGTGAGAAAAAGAAATTAATGAAACAGATTGTTTTGGCTGTACAAGAAAGTCATTGTCCAGTTTAAGTAAGTTGTGCTGATTCATTTCCATTGTAAAAACCATTAGTAAATGCATCCAATATATTGTATACAATCAGTATTCATAATCTAGTTTCCAGCCATTTTAAGATACCGATACTCCTGACGAAGGTCGTGTGACCGAAACGTTGTGTGTGAATAAACTTCATTTTAAATTGCAAGTAACGATAGTGTGCGGGAGTTCCTTATTTGCTTAAAAGACTGGTCTTATTATCCAACGCACCTATCACCTGCAGGTGTGCGATGGAGTGTGGTTACTAAGATTTAAGATACCAAAATATAAAATAATATTTGACTGAAAATGAATTCAAACGCAATAGGTTTTATAGATACATACCATTAATTTATCAAATTATTTAAAAAGGAAATTATGCACACAAAATATGCACACTTCGTGCAATAACAAGTAGGCTATTTATCATAAAGTTCTTCAAATAAAACTTACAATAAAATCAGGAATATATTGCGGTTGTTCATAAATACCAGTTGTTATGTACAATGAGGACGTTGTCACCGGAAATATAATCACCAGTGTCGTCCTATAGTTGCTGTAGATCCTTACTTGTGTCCACAATTCGTGATAGGCTAAGTTATAGGCCTACTGATTCGCGACCTAGGAAGCTATGGAGCTGATTAACAAAACTGAGACACACGTAACAAACTGTGTTCGCTCACCATAATCATGCGTTCTATATCTTTGCAGTCTTCAGGTTTGGCTGGACGTATTGTAAACTTCATTTTGCACAAGTCAACTAGCGTTTTGTGATTTCCTGCAATACCTTTGACCAGTGACTAAAAAGCTGACTGTAGGTTTCATGCGTGCGTCCTATGGTTCGTCCACCAGAGAGCAGCGAGATGTGTGTAAAATGTGTTCAAGAGCGTCATATATCACAAATACTGCGCAGTCTGCAACCCATGTTCGAATCACATGCGTTGTCTTAATTTTCATACTTGATTTGATTTAATACAATAAATAATACATTAGATAGATAGAACAATAGATAAATTAACAAATGTACTTTTGTTAATAGAACGTTTTGCTTACAACAGTGTATATTTTAGATACAAAAAAATATATTATGCAGTTTAAAAACATAGAAAAAAAGAAAATTATTTGTACACCTCCAATGAAGAATTTCAAAAGCTGTAACTGCAGTGTTTTTTGTGAAAGAGAAAAAAGTTTGAAACTTAAAAAAAAAAAAAGTTCTCTCTGTGACTACTTTACACCTGACTACTTTTAACTGACTACGTTACACCAACAGATTCCACTGTCACAGGTGCTCTGTTTTGCTATAATGAAACCTTTATAGAACATGATAGTAATCCGCCATCCATGTAAAAGCAGAGGTCGGTGTGGTGTACAGGTACATCTGTCCAGCCAACATCTCACGCCTTGATGCCTTCCACTGTGGATCCCAGAAAACCTGCAAAAAAAAAAAAAAAAATACAGTTCAAAATCTATAATCATACATCTGGTATCACAAATTATCATTCCAGGTTCAATCAGGTTAAATGCTCAATATTAGAGCTGCACAATACTGAAAACCTTAAATAAAATATTTTATTTATCTGCTGTTATATATTGCGATATAAAAACAAATTTCAAGAGATTATTGAGTGAATCTGCATTGAAAATTATAACAAATTACAAGTATTGATAAATTCAATAGAAGAAAAATACAATTGAAATAAGCAGTGCATGAAATTTTTTCGGAAAATCTAACTTACCAGGTACGGAAATTGAATTATCGAATGTAAAATAAGTCTTCACTCAGACAGATACAGCCTCTCCCTACTCTTACAAAATGACAAACAACCAGCCTGAAAAACACATGACAATGACACAAGACAATGTCTATAATAAATAGTGTGTGTGTAATTTCTTCAGTACCGTCAGCAGAACCGATAACATCTGAGCTTATCGATACTGCAGTCTTCCTTAATTTGGCCCCAGGGCCCGTTTTATGTTTAATACCGGGTTTCGGAACCTATTCCTACGTATGGGTGAGTTCATATGGATGAAGGCCTGTTGTGTTTGGCCCATTGGTTTGTGATAGTGATATAGCTATTGTGAAACTCACCTTCGTCATGTACTGGGTGTGGATGGCATCAAGATCTTGTCCTGAAGAATCACAGGATCAAATGATATCTCATCTGGTAACAAGAGCACAGCCATAACCCCCTGAATTCAGCATTTGAAAGTAAAAAGAATTTCAGTATTTATCAGTCAAACATACATAAAAAAATAGCTTTGAGTTGGACAGTATGGTGTCTCATTGGCCAACATAATTAAAAACACACCCAGAGAAAAAATAAAATAAAATAAAAAAAATTTTATATATATATATATATATATATATATATACCCATGACTATTATCCTGAATTATTATAACTATGACTATTATAACATTATATTTGCCACCTATTATTTAGCTTCTCAAGTACAATGTCACTGAAAAAAACTGTAGTTAATGAATTTAAAGTGAGAGACTTCATTCAAAATCATAAATCCTACAGACCCACAACAATTGAACAGTATGTATGAAGTTTTGCTTACTATAGTCGAGTTCATAGCCGTGGAGATTGGCTGCGTTCCAAACCGCATACTCAATGAGTAGGTACTTAATTTCAATAAGTACTTACTCATCGAGCGCTAAAAGAGTAGGTACTTTATAGACAAATCTCGTTGAGTATGAATGCGAACCGGACATCTGCCATGTTGACGTTATCATGTGACCTACTACGCGTTATCACAAGCGCAACACCTTCATGCAATAAAAAAAAAATATGAACGATACGTTTAATTAATCTACCTATAAATATCTTGATATTGATGAAACTTGCTCATTTTGTTGTGGTATTGTTGAAGAAACAGCTGCCTATTTATTTTGTGAATACATTTAGCGTTGATTTAAGTTGTTATATTTTAAACCCTACTAATGTGACCAACAGTGTTATTCTAACGATATTTTTTTTTTATTAAGAAACCCCAAAATCATCATCTCTTGATTATGTTGTTAATTTCTTTATTTTATACCCAAAAAGTTTCTCCTTTAAGTTTTCCTCTTTTTATTCATGAATTTACCTCGTTTCATCCCTCAGATATAACAACAACTTTTTTTATGTATTATAAAGAACTATAATGAAGATATTTAGCCTTTTTTATTGTTCTTATTTCCTGTGTATAAATATAATTTTATGTCATATTATGATGTACACAAACCAATGATCTTTATATTTTCTGTTTTGTCACTATGATTGTTACATAAACTATAGTATCTTTCCATGATCTTGCATATAATAAGTTTAAATTATATGAGCGACAGGTGCTCTAACACTTCATAACATCAGTAACTTGACAGCACAACCTAGAACAGCGTTTGTAATGTCTGCACAAAGGAGACGGGCAGCTGCTTGAAGATCTCTTTTGGAGAAAACTGTTGATTTTATACTCAAAAAATGTAAGTATCACTGCTTAAAAATTAATATTACCTCAGAATGAATTTCATTGTTAGCCCACCCCAAAACTTAAACAAAATAATAATATTAAATGCTGACCAATATACTTATATAACTTTTTATATACTAAAAATATAATTTAATAAAACAAGCAAAATGTAATTTGTTTTGTAATATGACAGTAATGCATGAATTCATTTATATTGCTAAATGCAGTGAAACATCTAAATTGTCAGTCAATCGATGAATTAATGCATAAATTAATTACATTTTATATACTGACAACAATAAGAAACATGAATAAATGAGTAAAAGGACAAATAAAAGTAACCATCACAATAAACAAATGCATATACAAGTCAACACATGAAACAGCTTTATTCAAACTACAAGCATGTATTTACAGGCACTGAACCCCAAACCCTACTGCCGACTCAACACAGCGGTTCCCATTCTTTGATGACAGCATTCAGCATCATGAGCCTCTCTCCACTGGATAAACACACGCGTGCTCTTCTGTCCCTGTAACATACAGACAAGATTCACATTACGAGCTCAACACTGCATTTACATGCTGAGGTTGATGTGTTAACTCACTTTTAATCCAACTTAAATGTTCCTCGATACATCAACACCAATAAGGGACAAATTAAATATATATCATGTTTAGTTACTTTATAGATGTTTTTTATTGACAACACATAATTTGTCTAATGTAAGCAGTGTTGACAATAGAATTATCCTACATAATAGCACACACATGTATTTTTCATGTTGCGATGTGCTCACCTGCAATACTTATACAATATTTTTCTTCCTGATGTAAATAGACATTTTAAATAAGCGTATTTAAGATGTATGGTTATGTAAATACACGTTGGAAACGCAACTTTATGGTTACTGGAGCTCCCCTGTTAGCCATACATAATAAAATATGTGTTTACAGCAAAATCACAACTATACATAGTTCCCACATGACGTCACAACATACGGGCATTTGCCGACCCGGCGCCATTGCTGAGGGCAAAACATAAGAAGAAGCAATACGAGTTGAACGAAGTGAAATGAGTTTCGTGCTATAAAGTGAAAATGGTCATCTCCTGCTGAGTCAATGGATGATAAAATCGTGCCGGAGGTTCAGTTAAATCGGGATTTTACACTATACCCGTCATTAGACTCCATATGGATGTGAGAAGACTAAGCTTTTGTCCGAACAACGATGGAGATTATGGCTGGCGAGCATGAACAGGAAAGAAACTCACTCAAAACACGCACGAATTTGTTTGACAAAAGCACAATGTTGTGTTTTATTGCGAGTGTAAATAAATATAAGTTAACACGTTGCAGTTTGAATAATGTCCTGTATGAACAAAATGACGAGGTATTAAAAACATACAAAACAACATTGTTTCCACTGTTTGATCTCACATTCCAGCATTGCAATCTCAGATTATGTCCCTAAAGATCCCGCGTATAATGTAGTTCCTCATTTATTACATTAATTAAATTGCACGCGAGTTATTTATTTTAATATTCATGCACCGAACCATGACGCCCGCAAGTACATGCATATTACAGAAATCACCGGTGACTGGGGAACATAGGAATTAAGTTGTGCAGGCTATGGCTTTTTAATAGACAGATTAGCATCATGCTACTTCGCTATGATGACTTAAGTTACTTTTCCATTGATTGCACTTGAGCAAACGTCACCAAACCAACCCCACGTCAATCTGATCGTACACCTCCAGTGATTTCCAGGCTTGGAATTGCTCACATGTGTAAAAACTCCTCACCAATACCAGATAATTGTACACATGAAAATACTGTATCTGAGGCAAAGTTGCATAATCGGTGCTCAGTGCTTCTTTTGTTGCATAAGGATACACACCATTTATGAATGAAATTTTCGCATTGTACCTCTCTATGTCTTGTTTTAATAGTCTCTTTATAATCTATTACACTTTGTCTTTTCATGATTTGCATAAAAATATAAACAGACATAAATATTTGTTTGTAAAACGACATTCTCTGATAAAACGTTGTAAACGCCTATGGTAAACACAGCGGTTTTGCCCTCAAAGATGGCGTCTCCGGGGAGGTCACGTGACAATTTTTTTGCCTGTGGGAACTATGTATACTATACTGTCTAACTCCTTTAGACGTTCAACAGTTAAAACGTTTACTCTATAGTAGTTTAACACATACGATTTAAACCGTATTTACTCACATTTGAAAACCCCCGCGTCGCTTATCTCCGCGATGTTGATATTGACGTATCCTCTCGCGTGGCCTCCTGGGATAGATGAGTATCATGAGTAGCCGTGGAAAAGCACTCAAAAATCTGGGCGGAAGCAGTAAGCCATCCGGGAACTTCTCGCCTACTCTTTTTATGAAAACTGATGTTTGGAACGTACTGCTTCCTTCACGTACTGTTTTCGCCTACTATATAGTAGGAAAGTAGGCATATTGGAACGCACTTAAGTCCGAATCTCGCGACAATTACTACGTCACCCAGGTAATTCTCGCCTACTCTTTTGGATTCATTCATACTTTTTTGCTCGCCTACTCTTTTTCCCATACTAAATAGTAGGGAAGTATGCGGTTTGGAACGCAGCCATTGTCTTGGACCCCAGGGGGTGCAGCAGGACATCTATAGCCGCGTTTCCACTGCCGGGCCAGGGCCGGGCCGTGCTAGTGCGTGCCAGGGCCAGTCGCGTTTCCACTGTCACTTCCGGGGCTTGATCGGGGCTTCCTCAGGGCCAACGGCCAGGATTTCTGGCCCATCGAATACCTTGGGCCAGAGGGGGCCAGCTCGGGCTAGAGGCGTGCTCAAGGTAAAAGGCGGAGTTTATCGGTGTTATGGAACGTTATGATCTGAAGCAAGATGCACATCGATGTCCATGTTTAACCGATTAACCGTTTAAAATTGCATAACATTTTAATTTGAACGTATAGGCCTATGCCAAATGCTGCGCAACAATATATAGGCTAGCTATATCGACGAATTTTCAGACATTTGTTTGATTTTTTTTGCCCCTTAAACATTTAAAATATTTGACAAATTAATATGAAAAAAAATATATATTTTACTGGTTTTCTGAGGCCAAATTAGAACCTGGAAATGATATTTTCCCCGCAGTGCTGAATGAGAAGAGACGTAACCACAGCCTACAGAAAGGGGATTTATGGGTGATTTATAGGCTATAATAAATGTGTCTGATAATAAAATAATATAAAATAACGAGGTATTAATTGTTTATTAATAAACTATTGTTTTCTAAATGATTTTCGGCTAAAAACATATCTCCATCTCCGGATGCACATTTAAAGAGAAATTAAGCAAACATAGAAGATATTGGCTTTCGATTCGAATTTGTTCGTTTTAAATTGGACATTTAAAGCTTTAATCTACAAAGGATATAACCCCTGTAGACTAAAGCTTTAAATGTCCAAATTAAAACGAACAAATTCGAATGCGGTGGCTGTTTCAGGTCTCGCGCTTCAGTTCACGGAGATCATGAAGCGCGCCTTGTTTAATTGTTAAAGCACAACGTTTTCTTGTTATAAATAAATGTATTTGCGAATAATGTATTATTATTTTCTGTATGACCAGAAATTAAAGAGTATTTTAAGTTGTTTCCACTAAAAGAAATGCAATGAAACTGTTCACATGGGCGTCTCGCAGCCATCAGTGCGTGCTCCACTGGATATGCGCTGATATTTGTCAAAAATATTTTGTTTATTTGTGCTCTGTTCCTTTTTTGGATAAAGGCGTCTTCTACATATGCAGCCTAATAAAATGTTACAATAATGATGATGATGGTTATTATTATTATTATTATTTGCAGACACGGAGTTTTTGTGAAATGGACGTTTTGCTTATTTTCAATTGGCAATTTCAGTTTGAAGGGTGATGGAAATGGGGCTTTAACTGCTCCGTACTTGCTGCGTTTTATTTCTATAAATTAATTTCGTTTCAAATGGGGTCCAATCAGTTATTAAAGGTGTTAAAAATTTACTCTGTATCTCGAGGTTGCGGCGCGCACACTATGCACCGAGTATTAACCGATGGGCCTCGGTTAACGATTAATGAATAACTTGAAAA